ACAGTAGAGATATATCTCTAGACCAGTACGGAACATGACTTAATGTCTGTAAAACAACAGTAGAGATATATCTCTAGANCAGTACGGAACATGACTTAATGTCTGTAAAACAACAGTAGAGATATATCTCTAGACCAGTACGGAGCATGACTTAATGTCTGTAAAACAACAGTAGAGATATATCTCTAGACCAGTACGGAGCATGACTTAATGTCTGAATAACAACAGTACAGATATATCTCTAGACCAGTACGGAACATGACTTAATGTCTGTAAAACAACAGTAGAGATATATCTCTAGACCAGTACGGAGCATGACTAAATGTCTGTAAAACAACAGTAGAGATATATCTCTAGACCAGTACTGAACATGACTTAATGTCTGTAAAACAACAGTAGAGATATATCTCTAGACCAGTACTGAACGTGACTTAATGTCTGTAAAACAACAGTAGAGATATATCTCTAGACCAGTACGGAGCATGACTTAATGTCTGTAAAACAACAGTAGAGATATATCTCTAGACCAGTACGGAGCATGACTTAATGTCTGTAAAACAACAGTAGAGGTATATCTCTAGACCAGTACGGAGCATGACTTAATATCTGTAAAACAACAGTACAGATATATCTCTAGACCAGTACGGAACATGACTTAATGTCTGTAAAACAACAGTAGAGATATATCTCTAGACCAGTACGGAACATGACAATGTCTGTAAAACGACAGTAGAGATATATCTCTAGACCAGTACGGAACATGACTTAATGTCTGTAAAACAACAGTAGAGATATATCTCTAGACCAGTACGGAACATAACTTAATGTCTGTAAAACAACAGTAGAGATATATCTCTAGACCAGTACGGAACATGACTTAATGTCTGTAAAACAACAATAGAGATATATCTCTAGACCAGTACGGAGCATGACTTAATGTCTGTAAAACAACAGTAGAGATATATCTCTAAACCAGTACGGAACATGACTTAATGTCTGAATAACAACAGTACAGATATATCTCTAGACCAGTACGGAACATGACTTAATGTCTGTAAAACAACAGTAGAGATATATCTCTAGACCAGTACGGAACATAAGTTAATGTCTGTAAAACAACAGTAGAGATATATCTCTAGATCAGTACGGAACATGACTTAATGTCTGAATAACAACAGTAGAGATATATCTCTAGACCAGTACGGAGCATGACTTAATGTCTGAAAAAGAACAGTAGAGATATATCTCTAGACCAGTACGTAACATGACTTAATGTCTGAAAAACAATGATAGAGATATATCTCTAGACCAGTACGGAGCATGACTTAACGTCTGTAAAACAACAGTAGAGATATATCTTTAGACCAGTACGGAACATGACTTAATGTCTGTAAAACAACAGTAGAGATATATCTCTAAACCAGTACGGAACATGACTTAACGTCTGTAAAACAACAGTAGAGATATATCTCTAGACCAGTACGGAACATGACTTAATGTCTGTAAAACAACAGTAGAGATATATCTCTAGACCAGTACGGAACATGACTTAATGTCTGTAAAACAACAGTAGAGATATATCTCTAGACCAGTACGGAACATGACTTAATGTCTGTAAAACAACAGTAGAGACATATCTCTAGACCAGTACGGAACATGACTTAAAAACAACAGTAGAGGTATATCTCTAGACCAGTACGGAACATGACTTAATGTCTGTAAAACAACAGTAGAGATATATCTCTAGACCAGTACGGAACATGACTTAATGTCTGTAAAACAACAGTAGAGGTATATCTCTAGACCAGTACGGAACATGACTTAATGTCTGTAAAACAACAGTAGAGATATATCTCTAGACCAGTACGGAACATGACTTAATGTCTGTAAAACAACAGTAGAGATATATCTCTAGACCAGTACGGAACATGACTTAATGTCTGTAAAACAACAGTAGAGATATATCTCTAGACCAGTACGGAACATGACTTAATGTCTGTAAAACAACAGTAGAGATATATCTCTAGACCAGTACGGAGCATGACTAAATGTCTGTAAAACAACAGTAGAGATATATCTCTAGACCAGTACGGAACATGACTTAATGTCTGTAAAACAACAGTAGAGATATATCTTTAGACCAGTACGGAACATGACTTAATGTCTGTAAAACAAAAGTAGAGATATATCTCTAGACCAGTACGGAACATGACTTAATGTCTGTAAAACAACAGTAGAGATATATCTCTAGACCAGTACGGGACATGACTTAATGTCTGTAAAACAACAATAGAGATATATCTCTAGACCAGTACGGAACATGACTTAATGTCTGGTACACTTAACTTTGGACAGTGTTTTTTTGGGACTATGCTCTTTACTTTGTTACCTAGGCCAGTGATATCACCATCTAAAACAACAGTATATCTACCTTTTGATCGATTTCTTCCACTTTTTTAACGGTATCATCAACAACTCTTCCCATGGAGTCTAATTTCTTCCCTTGTTTGTTGACATCTTTTTTAATCTTCACCACGTCTTTCTTGGTATTTTTGACATCGACCTTGACCTCATTTACAGTGTTTTCATTGGTTGTTACTCGACTGTCAAGTTGAACCACATCGTCTTGTAGTTGTTCGATACCTTCCATAAAACCTTGAATTCTGAGAAAGACAGTAGAATGTTGATTAGTTCATACGAGCTTATATTTTCTTTCCTACTCTAGTTGGGACCTGACCTTAATAAATATCATGCTATTAGAGGATACAGAGTATTTGCCCTTGTTATTTTAATAAAAAGAGTAATATGATGATCTGTCCTAGATTGAGATTTATGAGTTTTTACTGATTTCAGAGTAATTGGTCTGAGTATTTTCAAACCATTGATAACAAGTGGATAATCACCATAAACTTACAAACTGATGTGCACCTGACAAGAGTTTGAATAAAATGGTAGGAATACAGAGGCCATATACAGTACAGCATTATAACTCTTCATGTGACATTTTTTAAGAAGCGCCTAATTCCAACAACGGCCCCACAAGAGTTGGTTTAAATGGAAAAAATTCTAAGGCCCTGGATATGAAATGTTAAAAGTGAATACAGTACGTAATACCTTGTCCATTATAAAGATGACAAACTCTGACTTACGTTCTGCCTTCTAACCAGTCTATTATATTAGTCATCTGATCTTTAACAATTTGGTCAAACGTTGAGTTTTTCTTCGCTTCTAACACAGCCTTGTGTTTCTGTAGGAGAGGTTTAAATTTCGATCCAATATGTTTCATACCGTCTATTAAACCATACAGTTGAGCTTGGTCATCACAAGTTTTAAATTTCTTTATAAAGGCAGTAAGGATTATGTCCCCCTTTTTCTGAAAAATAAAATGATAAAGAAAAGTTATCATACCTAATAAACAATAGGAGTTGTATGATAATGCTATGTCCTGTAACAGAGTGGAATCAAGTGTCATGAAGAGTGAGCGGATCCTGTCTCACTAGCGACACTAAAGAATGGGGACTTTCAGGATTGGTTGATTCAGAAAACTATGAAAAATTAAAACCCCTGAGCTAAAAATAATTTCACATGAAAAGCATTGTTCACGTACCTCATTGTGCATGCCAATAAATTTGAGAACATTACACAGAAAATTAAAACTGTTCTCGTTGATTTCGTCCATTAATTGTAAACACGCCTCTGTATAGGGAGCGAACTTCTCAGGTTTACGTTTAGCGAGTTCAGTCAAAGCTCGTAGTATTAATGCATCACTCTGCTTGTCCTCTTCAGTTAATATTAATAATTTCTTCACATTTTCACCCGTAAATAACTAAAAATAAAAATCAAAATGGGAACTTGAAAATATTTTCAGGAGAAATGAATGGATTTTTACATCCTACTTTTCTGCACCAATTGGGCTAATGAAGACGGGCAACGCCATGCAGGGTGCAATGAGGGAAATTTTGTCAGGACAGTGGCATTAGCCTGCTGTTTTTCGGTTTCCAACTGTCGAGTGATCTTTAACGTGCACAGCCTGTAGTATTGTCCCATTCGAATGACTAGACGCTTTTTCTATGTCAGCCCCTACCACCTGCATCACTGACAGGGGAAGCCGGGTCGAATTTTTAGAAGAACAATATAATAAGCAGACATGATCATTTTATTGAGAGTCTTCTCAGCTTTGTTTGCTAGACCAGATTGATAGTTCGGCTAGAAGCCAGGTGGATTGTAGCTCTTTGAAAAATTAAAATGCTAAAACCAGTGCTTCCAAGAGTTAATAATTTAGTCAAGATTCTCCTACCCCTGGTTGAGTTTTAGCAATTTTCGCCAGGAATGTAAAATAATTTTTTTTCATCCCAGGTTCACCGCTGTCAGCAAACTTAGAAAATACTTCCTGAAAATGTTTTTTCACCGGCTCGGGGTTAAAATCGTAAGCACCGTCCACGGCACCTGAAATATTCGAGGAAAAAAAGAGATACATGTAGTTAGGTTTTATGTATTCATAAGATTTCAAAACTTACTCATAATATTTATCATAATTTAAAACTTACTCATAATATTTATCATAATTTAAAACTTACTCATAATATTTATCATAATTTAAAACTTACTCATAATATTTATCATAATTTAAAACTTACTCATAATATTTATCATAATTTAAAACTTACTCATAATATTTATCATAATTTAAAACTTACTCATAATATTTATCATAATTTAAAACTTACTCATAAAATTTATCATAATTTAAAACTTACTCATAAGATTTATCATATTTTAAACTTACTCATAAGATTTATCATATTTTAAAACTTACTCATAAGATTTATCATATTTTAAAACTTACTCATAATATTTATTCATAATTTAAAACTTACTCATAATATTTATTCATAATTTAAAACTTACTCATAATATTTATCATAATTTAAAACTTACTCCTCAGATTTATCATAATTTAAAACTTACTCATAAGATTTATCATGTTTTAAAACTTACTCATAATATTTATCATGTTTTAAAACTTACTCATAATATTTATTCATAATTTAAAACTTACTCATAATATTTATTCATAATTTAAAACTTACTCATAATATTTATTCATAATTTAAAACTTACTCATAAGATTTATCATATTTTAAAACTTACTCATAAGATTTATTCATAATTTAAAACTTACTCATAATATTTATTCATAATTTAAAACTTACTCATAAGATTTATCATATTTTAAACTTACTCATAAAATTTATCATAATTTAAAACTTACTCCTCAGATTTATCATAATTTAAAACTTACTCATAAGATTTATTATATTTTAAAACTTACTCATAATATTTATTCATAATTTAAAACTTACTCATAATATTTATTCATAATTTAAAACTTACTCATAATATTTATCATAATTTAAAACTTACTCATAATATTTAT